CACATTTGATTGGTCTAGTTCCACTTTACTTCGAAAGCCAAAGAATATCCACCTGGTCCCAGCAGAATATATAGATAAAGGAGTATATAACCCCCCATAATCTCAGCTTTGGAATTTCAAAATACAGTGTTTTTGCAAAAACCATTTGATTCTCTACCCACAGGCTTGCAAAGTATGTTGCTATAGATGGGTAATGTAAAGAAGGTTGTTTCTACTCTAGGAGTTGTTTCTCTAGTACAAATATGATATACCTGAAGCTTCTGTTGTTGGAGCAAGACCAGTGGGCATTTGCCTTCCAGGAAGGGCTTTAGATTGCTGTGTCACAAACAATCAAGAAATCATTTCTGGCTGTACAAATGTAGCTGTTTATTGTAGCTCCAGTGAAAGGGCATGGGAGTGGAGGATCTTGCTAATTGTACTGAGTCTGCCTGCATTGCAAGTGTCAGATGATTTGATAGGACTGACATGCAGCTAAATGGAATAGGAAAAGACACTGCAGTGGACTGTTGGTCCATTAGTTTGCTTGGGCATCTTGTTTTACTAAGGAGCCCTCTAATGGTTTCTTGGCAATAATTACTATCTCTCTTCTTCATGCTATTCAACATGACAGGCACTTGCTGAAGTCGCAGCTAATATATTTGCACTCTAACCAGCTCCAATGCTGAGTCTCCTCGAGTATGTTTGGCTAAGAAATGAATGATGACTATGTTTTTTTCCTGGAGAAGATTTCTCTAATGTAGAAGATAGTCATTTTATTTCAGATACTAAGCAGGCGTGTGGCGTAACATAAGTGCTTGTGAAAAAAAATTGATACATTAGCTGTGGTCTGCCCATTGAATGTCTTGTGTATTAGTAGTTGATGGTATTGAAATAGGGGAAATATGTTTATGGGCTGTTTTACTTATATAATGATAACTTTAAGCTTGAGCCAGAACCACAGACAGGGAGCAGTTTATGTAGAAATGAACCTCTAGGCAACTATCATGATGCTATATGATTTGGGATTTGACCTTTGTTTCAAGTAACTTACAAATGGGAAGCATTTTTACTTTTCTTTGTCTCTCTCTCTCTTTTTTTTTTTTTAAGGTGAAAGAGGGTATCTTAAAAGAAAATACTTCAGCTCTTTTTCATGTCTTTTTTATTCACTTTGTGAAGTATGGTCAGTTTTGCTGATAGGTGTATTTACTTTGTAAACATCAGTTGGAATTTCCTGTGGTAAGCATTTGAGGTTTAGTGAATGAGCCTGAATCCTTTTGAGATTCATCTATGAAGTTTGTTTGCTAAAGTACAGCATTTCAAGGGGATGAATATCTTGATTATCATTAGTACCATCATTATTTTTTGTTAAAAGTCTTTGAAGGCTTTAAGGTCATAAAAAGGCATGAGAAAATATAGGAGGAAGAATAAAAATCAGAAGTATGAAGACTTGTGTAAAGAGGATGAATATGCTTTGAATATTGAAATCTTTTTTGCAGATATATGTATTTGTGGAGTGATAATTAAAATCATTTAGGGCTTTTTTTTCTGTCCAGTCAAGTCAAAGACCTCTTTTTATAAACTCTTCTTTGAGGAGGGATGAGAAAACATTAGCAACAACTCTATTTCAGATAATTTTTCTCCTTTGCTTTAAAAACATACTACAGCTGCCTGATAAAGTAGCTTCTTACTTTTTTAGTATATCACAGAGGAGAAAGAGAATTATCTTAGAAACATATTTGAAGCACATGATGAAAATGAAAGGTTTTTTTTTAAAAAAAACCTTTTAGAATCTATTTTCTTTGTGCAGGTACCAGATGTTGATGTTGGCAGTGCTTAAGAGGGTCACAGGGCATTTAAAATCACTAGGCTGTGGGGAATAGAATTCCAGGTCTGTTTCACTGAGAATTACTCAAAACTTGTGTTTACTCAGCAGTAAGTAGTACAAAAGTACTTTTTCTATGTGAGCCCCTCTTAAATAGTACCTTAGAAATACATGATCAGTGAAATTGCTACAAAATATATTTATGTTCCAGTGGCTCTTCTCAGCATTACAGAGGTCATGGTCCTATTTAAGTCTCTTTTTCAATGTGAAAAGCAGATCACTCGCAGATTGGTCTTACTTTTGAGCTATTCATTTCAGATTACAGCGGACAGAAGTTGTGCTATTGGCTGTATACTGAGACGAAAAAGGAAGTATACACCATACTTAGATAATATTTCCTTTGTATTCTCTACAAGTGTAATTTCCAGAAGAGAGCAGGACCATTTGCTCCCCTGACACCTCTATATGGACGTTCTTTTCTGGGTGACCTAAAGTTCCTTTTCACTGATAAGATAATTAGGATTAATAGTTTAAATGGAAAAGTAGGATTTTAGAAGGAAAAAGGCTCTGAAAACATTCTGACAAGCGTAATTTTTTGTGTTCAGCACTAGATTTTTATTTCTTCTGGTTTTGTGGGTGTAGCACCTGAACAAGTTAGATGGTGATACTTCTTGGGTTTTACAAATGATTTTTATGTATTTTGCTATAGTTAGCATTAAGATTTTACTCAGGAAATTTGAATTCTATAATAAAATGTGATTAATTTCTTGTAGGCTGTATTGCCCTTCTTCTTACTATGACCAGCCCCCCTGTAGGAAAAGAAGTACTTCAAATAATCTAGCTGTCAGAAAAAAAAAAAAGACTGAAAAGAAAGAGGGTTGTATTAATCATTGCCTCTGAGATCATGACTAATTTTTGCCTCTTCACATTTTGCTACACTTTTCAGGTCATCTACAGATAGAGTATATTACTTACAGTCAGAACAAAAAAATGAGAAACTTGTATGTGTGTATTACAGGTGGTGTTGATATGCCTAAGGAGTCAGTTTTAATTAAAGATCCTGGAAGCTTGGTTCTATGCAGTAGAACACAAGCTTATTAATGTCTGTACAGTCACATGTAATTTAACAAAGGGGACATGTTAGGAGATTTGAGATTTAAGTTGGTGGCTTGTGAACATCAGCTGGTACTTCCCCAATCCTAAATGGTACAGCCTATTACAGTACTGTAGTAGGCGGTATGGTGTAGTCTCTTGCTTCTAGGCTACAAACCTATACAGCATGTTATTGTACAGAATACTGCAAGTAATTGTAAAACAATGATATTTGTGTTATCTAAACATAGAAAAGGCACAGTAAAAATACAGAATAAGTTTTAAAAAACGGTGCACCTGTAAAGGTGCATACTGTGAATGGAGCTTGCAGAACTGGAAGTTGTTCTAGGCCAGTGAGTGGTGAGTGAATGTGAAGGCCTGAGGTTAAACCACTGTTGAGTTTATAAAAACATTGTACACTTAGGCCACATTAAATTTATAAAAAACAATTCTTCAGTAATAAATTAACCTTAGTTTACTATATTCTTTTTACTATATAAACTTTTAATTTTTTAACTTTTTGACTCTCGTAATGGCATTCAGCTTAAAATACAAATATGCTGTACAGCTGTATGAAATAGAAGCTTTTTTCTGTTACGAAAAATTTTGCAAACTTTTTTTGCTAAAAACTAATATGAAAACACATTCATCAAGGTCTCTGTGGGTCAGGCGCATCACTATCACTGTCTTTAGCCTCCACATTTGGTCCCACTAGAGGGTCTTTCAGGGGCAGTGACAGCATGGAGCTGTTGTCTCTTTTGACAGGGTACCTTCCTCTGGAATCTCTTGCAGGCCTGCCTGGGGCTCTACTTGGGGAGTTGTTATTCTTTTCACAAGTATGTCTGGGCGATTTTCTTTTTTTCATCATAGATTTGTGTGTAAGCATATAATGTATCCTGAGCATTCTTGTCTATTAGTGAAAACCATTGGGCGTTTGGGGTCCATGTTTTCAACATTATAAGGAGCTTGTTAAGATCTGCAGAAGATTCTGTGAAACTTTTAACTTTGAATCTTCTTGGAATTTCTTTTTCTTCTCCTGTGGTTTCTTTTTCTCTTGCCTCAGCTTCAGATATGTGTTCACTAAATAATAAAAGTTTTTCAGCTCCTTTATAATTTGTGGGACCACCATGGTATATGTGGTCCATTTGTTGATTGAAAGATTGTTTTGCAGCACATGACTGCCCAGCTCTTACAGCTGCCTGATGTTTGGGTTGCTGGCATATACAGCCATGGATCCCCTAGTTATGGGGTTTGCTGGTCACCAAAGGCAACAATCGTTTTTCCACTTTAAGTGGCAGATAGGGCTCACCAGTGCTGCCGTTATTGCCATATGGTTCTTTACCTTTTGCCCCCATGTATATATTTTGTGGGGAGTCTATATGATATTTCTATCACTCATCATTGCAGTTCTGCAATGGAAATGGACTTATAGGCTGGTAGGGGCAGCTTCAGAATTTCCTCTATCATACCTATGTATAGTTTAGTGATGAATGCAAAATGAACACGTGCCTACTGTGTGATTGGCATTTAGGGTAGCTTTCTGATTGATGAAGTTCTTAATGTGGTTTTGAATATTACTTGCAGTTGGGAGAATTCCTGTAAACCATAACATGTGATAGTTGAAAAAATTACATAGAAGTCTTGTTTTTGGAATGAGGAGACTGCTTTGTCACATTTTAAGTGTGATCTCAGGGATAGTACTTTTAAACTTTGTTATCTTTGTCTGTAAAATGGGGATACTTATAATATTTTCCTTTAGGATAGTTGTGAAACTATATGAACATCTTTTGTAAATCTATATACATTTCATTTATGAGTTAAGCTGCTCTTGCCAAACTACCTAAATTAGAATGGAGGTGATTTGGATCAGGTTCCTGAGTTCATAGCTTAGAGCCAAATTAAATTTGTCCATTCTACTTGGAAGGGGGGATGTCAAAGATGTATGGTTTTAATCTTATTTTTGTGAGAGGCTGTGCCTGCTATAACCCTCATAGCTTCCATTAAAAAAGCTGAAAATAGTTCATTTTCTGTTCGTAATTACTTGGCAGAAATTTTGGAATAGGGAGAGAGAAATTAGTAACAGCCAACCTTTCCTTTGCACTTACAGATCAACAAAAGGGATTCTTGGGTCCTAGAGACCAAAGAAAGAATCAACAGGAGTACCCAGGGTGAACTGATGGATTACGGAGCCTGGCTGGTAATTACTTTATCTGAGCTGAAACGTTAACTTAATACATGGGCAGTGCCCAGAGAAAATTAAGATTTGGGGACCCTACACACAATACCTTACACCCTCCTTTGGGAGGCAGCCTTCTCTTTGAGGGGATATACCTGCTTCCTCTCCTGAGGCTTGTCATGTATTTTATGCTGCACCCTGGCAGACTGGAGTTCTTTTGTTTCGGTTGTTGAGCAGATATGAGTGTTTAGGTTAGCCATCTTTCTGTGGTGGCAAGAAACAAGTTTCTCAAGACTTTAAAGCTAGATATCAGATGTGAATAGGCTTTTATCATCTTGTGGTTCAAATATCTAAGTGGCTTTGGCTTTTGTTTATTGGTTTTTATTTTGGTGGTACTGTGGATTGAATTTAGGGCCTTCTACATGCTTCGTAAGTGCTCTACCATGGAGCTACATCCCTAACCCTCAAGCTTTAGCTTTTGGACTTTTATGAGACTCTGACCAGATGCAAACCTAATCTCAGACCAGGTGATATTGTCATCTTAGGAGTCCAAGGGGATTTCACTGTAAAAGCTAACATATGTTGATTATTAGTAACTTCCTTTGTTCTGTGCTGGGAATGATTGTGAAACCATAATGAAGTTCAGAGACATATTGATATAGCGATACGTGTTTTCCATGGGCTGGGAGGGCCGTTTACATATTTTCAGGTGGTTGTCACGTCCATAGTGCTTGAGAGCTCATTTCATCTACTGCATTCTCAGTCTCTGCCCTTCTGTTATACAGCAGAAAAGTTGAATTTCTAGAAGAGGAAACTATTTCCAGCTTATTAGAGCCAAGAATGGACTTGAACTCAAGTGCAATTTTCTGAGCTCAAGTTGCTTGTTATGTGATAGGAATAATAATAGTTGTTACTTAAGAGATTTAGAGATGGTTAAGTCCAAAGATCTATATTAAAGGTTAGGAACAGTGATGATACCAAAACATCTTAAAAACTGAAAGCTGTCATTGTCATTGAGAGCATTTAATTTTTATTATTCCTCTCATATTCATTACTGCCACATTTTGTAAGTAGTCAAGCAGGTCTTTGTTATTTACCATCTTGTCAAGGCCCATTTTTTTAAACACATTAAAGCAAGTGCTCAACTTACAACAATATTTAAAGAAAATTTGACGATGTTTGACACTTTCGACTTCCAAAGAGACCCATGAAAGGCGTTAATTGAAGATAATTGAATGGTGATTAAAAATCCTCATTTTGGATTTCCTATCTTCTGTGTGTGTGTTTATGAGTTAGCTATATTTCTAACATATAAATATTTGTCCAATGTGATTCTACTCTGGTGCCTTCTCTTGAAAGAGTGTGTATTCTCATGATTCTCAATGAATCATGATTCATTGTTGAGTAGTCTCCTGAACTTCCTTGTTTCCTTAAACATCTACATTGAATGTATACTACTGTGAGTTTTTAAGTATCCTAGTCTTGTTAGCACAGGGCTTTAAGTTTGAAGGCTTTAGGTATAAGATACATTATGATGTCATTATCTGAACGATCCAGACTTTTATGAACTTTTTATTGACACGAGAATTTACTTATGACATATTAATTGATAAGAATTGAACTTACAACTATATTCAGTATTTAAGGAGAAAAAAATTAAGTCAGTGTGCCTTGGATAGGACTGAATGGTATGCCACTTTGTGTTGTCCCGGTTTCATCTCTGGCTGGTGTACTTGTTCATCATCAGTAGTGCAGCTCAGTGGCAAAAGCATGGGCTTTAAAGTCAGACAGGTTTGGGGATTTACCCTATTTTTTTCATTGAGGAGCTTCATGATTTAGATACATTGTCTTTCTGAGCCTCAGCTCTCACAAAATTGGAATACTATCTCCTTTGCAAAATTTCCTAAATGAGTGTATGTATGGTACTGGGAAGTGAACCTAGACCCTTCAGATTGACCTACATCTGTAATCCTTAAAAAAATGTAAAAAATCAGAGATAGGGTCTTTGCTAAGTTTCCCGGATTGGATTGAAACTTCATCATCCTGCCTCAGCCTGCCCATGCGGGGATCATAGGCGTGTGCCACCACACTTGGCCTTGCAGGATTCCTAATCCTGAAAGTGACTTGCTCTTAGGGACTGTTAGTAAATGTTAGTTTATTTTCTCCTCCTGGTGCAACTTTTACCTCCCAACTCCCTTCCCTGACATTTCACAAGGATCAATTCAAGGAATAAAGGAACGTGGAAGGCTTTAGTTCGTACTAACGTTTTCAGTGGTTTGCCTTTTAAATCATCTCTTTTCTGTAAAAGATGTAGTTCTTAAAAATCTCACACCCTTTCAAAGTAAACTCATGACAGTCACGAAGTGTCCAAGTGTCCTACTTCACAGGGTGAGAGAGCTGAGCAAACCAAACTCACGTTCTCACTGGAGTGTGGTGTGAACTTGTCTTCCCTTGGGAGCGCCCAGGAAGGTGGGTACTGGCATCTTCACCCATCCTGTTAGCTGTGATGGGAGGTGTGGAGACTTGGAGAAGACTCAGGCTAAGCTCTAGTTTACAGTTTCACAGCCGTCTGGCCTTTACTGAGCATTCTTTTCCCTGCCAGGATTCCTGTAATTGTCATCAGATGGCTCAGTCTCCCAAATGTTTCTGGTAATTGCAGTGACTTCTGGAGAGTGTTAAAAGAAAAAAAAAGAATTGTGTAGCAGTCATTACTTGTTTGTGACTGCTCTGTTGTATAGAAGTGTGCAGGTCAGGTGTCTCTGGAGTGCAGAAAAAGCAGTCTGACGTGGAGTCTTCCTTAACATCTTCTCGGTGAGCCTTCCCTTTCCTTTGCTGGTTCTTTCTACCTGCATTGCCTCAAAGGACCTTCCTTCCCTGACAAAAACAAGTGAGGAAAGATATAGGCAACATTTCTATTTTCAATTATCAGTCTCCTTTTTATCTCATATCTGAGGACCTTTATGGAGCATTGAATCTTTCCTCAGTCAGCTGAAGGCTTCAGGGAGGTTAAGATTGAACTGGACAGTGAGTGCACCCTGTGAAGAATGATTCAAAGTCTTAGGGAACCTTCTGCATGGAGGAACAGGGGCAGCTGAGATGGACCCTGAGTTCCACTGGATAATATTTGAATGATGGAAATGACAGCATTAATTGGCTAAACAGGAGTTTAGAAGAACAACCCAGAGCATAGAGGTGGCAGAGATGGGTGCGTTCCTGGAGGGGTATGTGGTCACATTTTATCTTAAAAAGGAGAACTCCTTCATAAACTTGAATTCATACTTTTTTTATGAATTCATACTTTACAAAAGGAAGAGACTAATGATTCCGATTTTAGAATGAATGCTGTCTCTAAAGTTAAGCTGTAGAAGGAGTGGCCCATGCTCTCAAAGAGGGCATTCTGTGTCTCTCAGGTGCTTTGAATTTTCCTTTACCAAAAGCACAAGGACAGGAAACTATCTTACATGCTTTTTTTTTTCCTTATAACACATAACTTGACCCTGAAACTGTTTTTCAAGGAGGGGGAAAATTGCCTAAATGAGAAAGGACACTTAAAAAAAGAAGTGATTGACAGGTCTGACCCTATGTGCTCTTTCCTTCCCCTCACCAACCACCTAACCTATTCACAAGGCTGAGACTGATCAGAGATGTAAGGCTGGGTAAGATTGCTCAACTAGATCATATTGGAAAGTGTGAAATTGAAGAGAATTTACATTTGTTCTGATTCATGCTGTTGGCTGAGAGATTGTATTTTTTAAAAACTACTTTGTTTTACTCACTCTTACCTATTAAAATAGTTCATTGCCTTCTGGTGTCCCTGACTGTCTAATGGTATTCTGTTAACAGAGCTACTCTAGATAGTGATATTGACTGTTGTGCTTGCTTCTTTATTTTATTTTATTTTTTTATTATTTTTTTTGGTACCAGGGATCAAACTCGGGTCCTTGCGCTTGCGCAGCAGGCGGCGAAACCACTGAGCTAAATCCCCGGCCTATGCTTGCTTCTTTACATCAAACAGCCGTTTTATAGTTGTCATATGGATCTTTACAAATAATTGAGAGTAAGTACTGATGTCTACACTAAAAGTACTCATGTCTATTCCCCCTCTCCCTCCAGGTGGCTGGGAATGGGGGAAGGGAATGGGGAAGACCTTTATCTCAGCAGGTCACATAGGAACTATTTTGTGGTTAATATGAGAAGCTCTATCATGGCAGTTGCATTCCCCTTAGCAGTGATTGGTCTTTTGAGTAGGCATGTGACTAAAGTCCTGTCCAGTAATTTGTAAGAGGAAGTCTGCTGGGAGTAATTTGTAAGATGGAAGTTTTCCATCTTGAATGAAAAACGAGTGGCCATTTTTGACTGTGGCTGTGGAGCAGTGGGGTAGTAGGGCAATCTGACACCACAAAGCGACCCTGCCAGTAAAAAAGGCAAAGCGTCGGTCACTGATGCCTAGCATTGGGCGCCACCTCTGATTTCTTGTTCTATAATTTGATGACTCATACAACCCACTGTAGATCAGCTAAAGAGTTTTTGTTTAAAGGTGTGAAATGGGGGCTTGGTGATGTAGTTCAGTGGTAAAGTACCTCTCTAGCATGTGCAAGGCCTTGACTCAATCCCCAGCCTCGCCATAAATGAATGAATGGAGGATGTGAAAGGCGAGTAGCCCTTTGTAGTGGAGTCGAAAACTAAAACTGAGCTTTCATAAAGGGAGTACCCACAGGCCAATCCTGTGTCTAACTGATGATCTTGCTTTCCCTGCTGGTGTTACCTCAGTGAAAGGTGGGTGGGGCAGACACATTCACGTTTGGTTTGTTGTTTTTGGCTCTGCTGTGTATAAATTGGGAACTCTGCTCAGGCAACTTATTTTTGATTGGTATTGTTCTGATTGAAATAAGTGAAAGAAGAGTGTAAAATATTGAGGAATAATCTGAAAAACCACGGTAGTGTTAGAGCAGTTAATCAGTTTTCCTTGTGAAGCAACCCTTGCCAATTAGCTTTTGTGTCTGACTTGTTGTGTGTCTTGT